CCTGCAACCTAGGTACATGCCCTTAGTCAGAATTGAACCCAGACCCAGCAGTGGGCAGGCCAAGGCATTATCCACTGAGCAAAACCAGCTAGGACAGGATATGACATTTCTTAACCCTCCAGCAGCGGACCTTCCTTTTTTTCTCCAGGAGTGTGGTAAAAAACCCTAGATCACCTATTTGGATTCTTATTACCCAAGTTACTAAGAATATTACCAGTGACATACAGGGAGCGAAGCCAATGAGCAGTCAGAAAAGGTGTTTTCTCTGTAGTTCACACCAATTGCCGGCTTGGCCCCTGCCCAGGCCTAACGCCTCTGGCCAAGTCATTAGCCCGGGGCAGGGGACCTCCAGCTCCCTCAATCGTCCCTCAATCGTCGGCTCAGCCCCTGCTCCCCATGATCACTGGCTCCGCCCCTGCCCAGGCCTAATGCCTCTGGACACAGCATTAGGCCTGGGCAGGGGACCCCCAGCTCCCCACGATTGCCAGCTCCACCCCTGCCTAGGCCTAACGCCTCTGACCGAGGTGTTAGGCCTGGGCAGGGGACCCCCAGCTCCCCACGATTGCCAGCTCCACCCCTGCCTAGGCCTAACGCCTCTGACCGAGGTGTTAGGCCTGGGCAGGGGACCCCCAGCTCTCCGCAATCTCCCACTCCACCCCTGCCTAGGCCTAACGCCTCTGACCGAGGTGTTAGGCCTGGGCAGGGGACCCCCTGCTCCCCACAATCGCTGGCTCCGCCCCTGCTACCTGCGATTGCTGGCACTGCCTCTGCCCAGGCCTAACTCTTCTGGCAGAGGCATTAGGCCTGGGCAGGGGACCCCCAGCTCCCCACGATTGCCAGCTCCACCCCTGCCCAGGCCTAACGCCTTTGGGCAAGGCATTAGGCCTGGGCAGGGGACCCCCAGCTCTCCGCAATCTCCCACTCCACCCCTGCCTAGGCCTAACGCCTCTGACCGAGGTGTTAGGCCCGGGCAGGGGACCCCCTGCTCCCCACAATCACTGGCTCCACCCCTGCTACCTGCGATTGCTGGCACTGCCTCTGCCCAGGCCTAACTCTTCTGGCAGAGGCATTAGGCCTGGGCAGGGGACCCCCAGCTCCCCGCAATCATGGGCTCTGCTCCTGCTCCCCACCATCTCTGGCTCCCCCCCTGCTCCCCACCATCGCGGCTCCACCCATGCCCAGGCCTAATGCTTCTGACCAAGGCGTCAGGCCTGGGCAGGGGACCTCTCAGCTCTGATTGCAGGCTCCGATAGCTGATAGTCGATGGGTGCCTATGTATGCAAATTAACCACCATCTTTGTTGGCGGTTAATTTGCATATCGTGCTAATTAGCCAATGGGAGGTGTAGCGAAGGTACGGTCAATTACCCTGTTTGTCTATTATTAGATAGGATAGCCAAAACCTAGAAACAACTCAAATAGGGAATAGAATAACAAATTTTGTATATTCATACAATGGAATACTACTCAACAATAAGAAAAAACAAATTATTGATGCCTGGGACAACATGAGTGACTCCCAATAACATTATGTTGAGCAAAAGAAGATAAACACAGGAGAGTGTATCTATCATTCAATTTAAATGCAACTCTAGAATTCTCAAGTGGCTTTCTGGGCCTGGGGATAGAGAGGACTTCCTTAGGAGGGGCACAGGAGAAATTTGGGGTGATAGAAGTATTCTGTATTTTTATTATGGTGGTAGTTACATGGGTATATAAATTATCAAAACTCATTGAAATATACACTTAAATAAAAGTTCTATCTCAATAAGTTGATTTTTTAAAGGTAGGATTTGGGGTGATTTATATCCTTCAAGAATAAAAGTTTAGTTCACCCCACCTACAACTAGGGGGAAAAAAATACATAAAACCTTGATCAGCTGAGATTCTGGACTTG